TTGTTAGAACATTAATTTTTAAAATTATAAATATCTTTATTGAGGTACGTTTTAAAATAAAGTGTACTCATTAAAACAAACAGGTAAATTTTGGCAAGTGTACACATCCATGTAAACACTGCCACAATCAAGATACAGAATAGTATCACCTCAAAACTAGAATATGATTTTAAAGTTTCTGAGAACTTGTGTGAAACTTGCATGTCTAATCAAAACTCCTTTTTAGGTGATGTGTCAGTGGATGGAAGTGTTCAGAAAAGATCTGTGTAGGTTCTGGAACAGTGTTTTCCCCGTATTCTTTATGTTTTTGAACGTCATGGTGGTTGGAATTATAGGAGCAGCTGTGGTCATAACCATCTTAAAGGTGCTCTTCCCAGTTTGTGAATACAAGTAAGTATTTTTTACCTTTGAAACATTAGTATTTTTAGTGATTGAAAACTGAGTTGTATTTACTATATATTTTTTTCTTTAAAAAATTTTGTATTTTTCTATTCCAGTTGACATTCAGTATTATATTAATTTCAGATGTACTGCATAGTGGTTAGACATTTCTATAACTTGCAGGGTGATCCCCACAGTAAGTCTAGAACCCACCTAACACCATATATAGTTGTAACAGTATAATTTACTGCATTCCCTGTGACTATTCTATAAGTGCCAATTTGTACTTCTAATCCCTACACCTTTCTCACCCATCCCCCCAACACCCCTCCCATCTCGCAACTGTCAGTTTTTTCCCTGTATCTATGAGTTTTTGTTTTGTTTTTTTTTGATATCACATATAAGTAAAATCATATGGTATTTGTCTTTCTCTGCCTTATTTTACTTAGCATAATATCCTCTAGGTCCATCCATGCTATTGCAAATGGTAAGAGTTCATTCTTTTTTCATGGCTGAGTACTATTCTGTTATCTTTTTTTTTTTTAAATCCCAGATTACAATTTGTCTTTTGCTCTTGTGTATGGTATCCTATATCACACAGAAGTTTTACATTTGGGGTGAAAGCAGTTCATGTTTTTCCTTTATGGGGTCTAGGGTTTTTAATTTTCCTAAGTAGTCTTTTCCCATCTTAAAAGTCTGTGTTTTCTTATTTTTTACCGTCACTTTTGTGTATAGTTTAAGCTAGAGTTCTGGTTTTGTTTTCCAAACAGAGGGCCATTGTTGCATTAGTAACTTTCCCCTTACTTGGAATGTTAACTTATTATTAACTAAATTCCCATATACATTAGTCTTGTTTCTGGACTCTCTTCTTCCACTGATCTGTTTAACTGTTCCCATGCCTGTGGCATGGTTTTAATTATTATAATGTGTGTTTTTTCTTTGTTCTTATGATTCTTTATTCTCTAATTTTTTAAATTTGTGGTTGACAGTATTACAGATGTCCCCTCTTTGCCCCCCTTTGCCTCCTCTACCCAGCCCCTGTAATTATTATAATACCTTAATAAAATCTTTGATAAGCTGGTTAGGGCAGCTCTCTCCTCTCCCCACTGTTCTAAAAAAAAGTCACAGCAATTCTTGCTGTTTCTCTCCTGTGAACTTTACAATCAGCTTATTCAGTTTTACAAACTAACTTTTGTTAATAGTTTGATTGGGATGACACTGAACTTGCAATACAGGGTCTTGGATCCAATGTAGAGATCTCTCTGGTCAGAGATGTTAGTAACAACAGGAGAAACGCTGTCTAAATATCTAAGGTTTCATTCAAGCAGTGAGTACTATTTAGAAAGCTGCTTGGGCCTAGTCTTTTGCCCAACTTGTGGTGATCTAGGCTCTAACGCCGCCTTGGAGACGCCTCCTACTTCATCCCTCCCTCCTTCAGGACCAGGGAAGGGGCTTCCTCCTAAGCCTGTGTATTCCCTTGGTTTGCTTAAAGTGCACTTTGGCCTCAGGGTTTATACAACGGTTAAAAAATAGATAAAAGGAAGCAAAGTACCTAACCCTAGGTATACTGAAGTTAGCCCTATCTTATTACCAATTTTAATTTTTATATTTCAGAGGAATTCTTCAGTTGGATCAAGTTAATGTTATACCTGTGGCAGCTATCAGCTTATATGCAGATGGTTCTGAGAAAACAGCAGAAAGCCTTGAAGATAAAACATGTGTTTGAAACACCATCTCAAATCACGGACTCTGAATTAGTCTACGGGCTCTAAATTTGCCACTTGAATGTTTCTTTAAATCATTAAGAATCAGTTTACACACTAGAGAAATTGCTCAACTCCTAAAACTTGACCTTTAAAACGGCAAGTTAAAGTTCACCTTATTCTATAACAGGGCTGGCTACTCAGATGATGAATTGTTAAGGAAAATTTAAACAAAGTGGAAGAGAAGACGTGAAGAAACTTTGAAATCACCAAAAAGGAAAAAAAAGCAAGACAAAATGCCATGTGCCAATACTTTACAAGGTGCCTTTGCTAAGGAAATTATATCCACTTAATTACTATAATATATGACTTTATGAAAAGCACTTTATGAAATTCTAATTTAAAACCTCAAGAACTTAACACTTATTTTTTTATTCAGTAAAATGTGCCTTTATAATTAAGTATGTGACTCAGTATAAAAATCACTGAAGTGGCCCTAGCCAGTTTGGCTCAGTGGTTAGAGTGGTTAGATTGTCGGCCCACGGACTGAAGGGTCCCGGGTTTGATTCCGGCCAAGGGCATGTACCTCAGTTGCAGGCTCGATCCCCAGCCCCAGTCAGGGTGCGTGTAGGAGGCAGCCAATCAATGTGTGTCTCTCACATCCATGTTTCCCTCCCTC